CTGCTAAAATATTGGGCAGCTAGTGCTTAAATGAAGTTACCTTTTAGATGCTTCTTGTCCAAATCAGAAAAACAACATCCAAAAATACTGCAGCTTCTTCAGGGTTCTAGCCCCTCCTGCAGCATCCCCACTGAACCCAGGAATAAGGTCTCTACACATCTCACAGGACACCTGGAGCAGTCCTGTCACACAGCTATGAAGAGACGTCCAATAAAATCCTCCAGCCAGGGCTCTGAATATAGCCCACACTACTCCATTTTTCAACTTGCTAAAATCACAGTATCCAATAGAGGTGCTCTACCTTGGTACCTTCTCCAAAAGAAATATACAAATAAAGTGAGAGGAAGGAAGAGGGAAAAGAAAGAGGACTTAGTGCATTGTGTCAACCAATTATATTCAACAGAGAAAAAGATACAAGTGGTTATAGCTTCCTGTAAATTACTTCATGCAATTAAATCCCCTTCTCTAAATTACAGACCATTTAGCTCTTCTTTTATAACAATGTAACCAATGACCACCAACAACCTTTTTTATAGCATCTAATGCCACGTAAGTTGTTAGCAATGAAATTTCCTTTTTATTTCTCCCTTTTGAAAAAAGCTTCTGTAATGAGATTCATTCACAGCTACTTACAGGCTGTCATCGAGAAGAGAGAATCGCCCTGTTTCCCTTTATTCTGCTCCCTCTGAGACTATATTTAAACAAATGTGACCTGAAGACCTTATCAGTCATCTAAATGCAGGCAGAGAAGTTAAAGGTGACCAGCAAGAGATTTAAAATATGGAGCTTATAACTGGTTAGATTCCCCACACACATACAGCATCACTTCCTAACACTGCACCAGCGTTACTATCTTCCTGCCACCTGAATTTTCTGAGCTGTCTTAGCTTTGAAACCACCAGAACACCAGTTCAGCCTGCTGCAGCTCCTGCACCCTGCTGCACTGCAGGGCCAGGATGGAGAGTGAGGTCCCTGCAGGCACTGCAGACAGCCCCAGCAAGGGAGCACCCAGTGCCTTCATCACCGTGCTCTGCAAATCTATTCCAGCACATCCTAAAAGTGCCAGCAGCCACCTGGAGGCCTGAGCACCTCGCTGCTGCCCAGATGCTGTGAAGTGGGAGAGGTGAGTGGGGATAGAATTTTTGGAGGAGAAGCAGGGACAAAGAAAGCAGAAGCCAGTGCTGCAGGCAAAGCTTTGGGATGTGGTTGTGAAGACAGCATGGTTGATGTAACAGCAGCAGTCTGATCCTTAAATACACAGCAGGGAGCAGAGTGAACGTGGCAAGGCACTGCATCACTGCATCCCCATCCCCGTGGTCCCCAGCCCTGCCTGCTCTGACACCCAGGAGCAAATCCCCACCCAAAAAAAGCCCATGGCAGGAAATGCTGGCCAGGTGAGCCAGCCCTGCCCAACCCAGCAGAGGCACACCAAGGAACTGCACTCAGAGGCAGCTGAGCCTCCCTAAAAGAATCAGGAGAGCTCTGTGAAAGCCGGGACAAGTGGGGCACATGGAGCAGCAATACTGGCAAGGGAGAGTCAGCTACAAAAGGGAACACACTGGTCCAGACAAGCGTTTCACTATTCAGTGAAAAAGACAAAGCCATGTTCTCTTACATATCACACTTCCAGCAGCCAAAACATGCTTTACATCACTGTTCAGAATATAATATTTGCAGTGTAATAAAAACCAGCATATGCTTCTGTTTCATTCTTCAGCATTAGCAGAAAAATAGTTGGACACCCCACAATTCCAACAGGCATGATCTCTTCAATTTATGTTTCCCTACCAGAACTGCAGAGGGTTTTGAAATACATTTTTTTCTGGCTTAAGCAAAGGCCACCTCCTGTCACAGTTCCCAGAGGGTTTATGGCACTGTTTTGCACTGCAGTGTGTCACAGAAATCTGTTATGGAAGCTGTGCTGTAGCTCTCCAAAGCTGGCTGCAATCCCATGATGAAGTTACCTGTGCCACAGCTATAATGCAGATTTTAATGGCCTAAGATTGGTACAGCATTTTAAACAAACTACACACACTGCAAAGTTCTCCCTCTGCTGCAGAGCGGGCTCTGCAGCCACTTCAAGAATCTCGATGAATTCTTGGATAAATTTAGCAAAAACAACAGCACTTCTTTGTAATAGCAGGGTTTCATTTGGGAAATAAACATCCACTTTTTATTTACAAAGGATTTTTTCTCCTCCTGCCACTGCTGTGCTATGCCCACTGCTTCCCTCTACTTTGATCCAGAAAACAGAACACCAAGTGCCTAACCAGGACTTAAAGCAGATTTTTAAATTAGTTCCTGACAGTGCAAACAGATTGCTATTGATTGAAATGAGGCTGATTTCAGGCCCTGGATTAGCAAACCCAATGCATGGATGGTGTGCTGCCCACTGCAGTTCCCTGCCCTGCTGCTCCCCAGGCAGCTGTGGATCCTCTGCAGTCACACATGAGCGTGAGAGAGCAGCCCTGCTCAGCTGGAACTGGGGCTTCATCCCAAATCCCTGGGCCAGGACCCTGCTCCACACCCTCAGCAGGAGCTCTGCAGCCAGCCAGGCTGTTTGGGAGTTCGGGAAGGTTTTGGGAAAGCTTTGCTGGAGCTCAGCACACAACTCGCCGAGCCTGGTGACCTCCACTGCCAGCCACGTCCACTGTGGATGGAGCCAAAGCTCTGGGGGAAGCCAAACCTGGTTTTCCTTTCCAGAAAGCCAAAATCTGGGACAGAGGCTTCACACAGGTAGTGGCACCACCTTATCAGCCCTGCTCTCCCAGCCAACACAAATACCTACTTAAAAATTGGTGCGAGAGCTTTCATGTCCAAATTGTACATTCTCGTACTTACAAAGGTAGAAATGGATCCTGCTTTTTAGCAACATTTCGCTGATTAAAAGAAAATGGACTTTTTTCCTCTTGCTTTGTTGTTTAGTTTCAAAGAACGTTTAAATAACAATATCTGCTAACAAAAAGGGTAACATCAATTAGAAACAAAAAGAAACTAGTTTGTATAATTTCAGCGTTCAAAAGCAGTGAAATGCAAACACCAAAGCAGCACACACCAAACCCAACCAATCCCCAAAACCCACATTAAAGGCAACCTTTCTTCTTTTTTTTTTTTTTTTTTTTTTTCCTGTAAGCTGACTGCCTATAATTCATTGGGTTTTAGTAGCCTGAGATACTGAAGGTAACAGAGTAAGTTACTGTTCTATCTACACCCTCTTGGACACAATTCAGCTTCCAAATGCTACATTATTAAGATATGGAAGAACAGGCACATCCGTGTCCTCTGGCTAAAGACAAAGACTCCAAAGGTTATTTTTCAGACTCACTCACTCTCCCACATGGCTGCTGAACCTCAGCTCAGAAAGGGGCATTTCAGTCTGAACTGTGCACCACTAAGCACACACTGCCTCCAGCCCACCAGTGGCTTCAAATCCAGGCATGACAAATACTACTTATTGTCTGAAAAATAGAAGTAAAACTCAAGCAGCTACAGGGTCCTATTGCCCAGTCATCAGCATAGGTTGCCAAAGGAAATTTCCTGCAGTATTTCATTATCCAGACGAGTTTCTACACCATTTCTCTCTGTCTTGGGAAGGCCCCACAGCCTTTCAGAACCACCACACACAAATGGGGCCAAGGGTATGTAAATGGGTTGAAAAGGAGCTATCAATTTTCACCTAGACATCAGAAGAAACAGCGTGCATCCTGGATGGAAAAAATGACTTAGTGGATCACCTTTAGCTCAGCTCAGCAGTAACCCAGAGCTCAGTCCTCCTGGGGGGTAGGGAGGGTGTTATATCCATTAATGAATGTTGGATAACGAGATGATGAGCATCACAGAGAAACCACATGAATAGGTAATCAAACTCGTTAATGCAATTTAGCAGTTCCAGTCCAGCAAGAGCCACGGCACTGCAATACATTAATCACCGACAGTGCTCAGCAGTTTGGGGAGGGCTGGGGAGGGAAGGAGGCTCAGGAATTAGCTGTGCTCTGCCTTCCCTCCCTCCTGGAAGCTCTGCTGAGGTCTCGGAGATGTCACTCCTCCGGAGCAGCAGGACTGTGTTAACTCCCCTGCCCTCTGTCTCCTCCCAGGCTCCAAAGCCAGCTCGCTATTTCTGAGCACTGAATACGTGCTACACCAGCCTGCTCTCCGCAGCTCCTCTGAGACTCTCCCTCCTCTCGGGTGATTTAAACAGTGGGTGAGAAAAGGAAGGAGGAGGTGTAAGACACTAATCTTCGTGACAAATGACTATTTGCAGAACACTGTGTTATTACAGCCGCATTTAACATCTAAATATATTCAACACACCATGATGCTCCCAAGCTGGCTGAACAGAGAGCCTGAGGTTAAGCTAACTGGAAATACCAGCAACCCAACTTTCCTATTATCCCCAACTCTTTTCAGAAGGTGGTCATTGTACAGAAAGGCAACGGGTCCTAAAGAATAGAAAAAGGATGAAAAAAACCCCAAAACCCAACTGTTCTACATCCACAGTGCTCAGACATTCAGAGGAATAAGCAACTCCAAAAATGAAACCAGAAAAGAGAACAGCTTGACCAAGGTTAATCAAAGACTGTCCCAAAGTTCAAAGAGTGACTCCCCAAAAACTAGAAGAGGACACATAAGGGAGCACTGGAACTAAGAGGTTTTGTTTTATAGGTACCTCTTACTTAATCTAATCAAATTATACATTCGACCCTTTAAATCCCTAGCAGAGGTGATGGGCTGCTCTCCCCCTCCAGCACTGTCTGCAGTTGTGGTGGGGATTCCTCTCCCCCAGCCCCTGGCTTGGCTTTGGACATGGCCTTTGGAGAAGGCACTGACTCAACCTGCAAGGAATGCTCCAGGGCTGGGGCAGTCCTGGCCTTTCACAGGGGCTGGGTTTCCTGCAGGCCACTCTGGCTGCACCAAAACACAGCCCAGCTTTGAACAGATTCTCACTCCTCCACATAGCTCATCCTGATGACTGCAAGCGCTTTTTTTTTTTTTTTTTTTTATGATCCCCATTATAAGAGCAGTTTCAAGTCAAGTTTCAAGTCAGCACCTTGCCCTGTGCACATGTGTTGAGAGCAGCCCCAAACTCTGACAAATCTTGGACAAAAGGATCTAGACTATTTAAAATGCCTTTTTCTCCCTCTGCTTAGTTACAGCAAGAGAGAAATGTGTTTGAATGATTTTTATACACAGTTGGGAGTAATAGGCTGGAAAGGACAGATTGGTTCTTGCAGCCCTCTCCCCATAGCCTGAGGTACAGAACAACCAAATATTCAGGAGCAATAGCAATCTGGATGCTTTGTCAAATGGAGTGAAGTATAAATCTAATTTTCTAAACAAAGCAGACAACCTGGCACTGAAATCAGCTTACCACTTTGCACCTCTCTACAAGGATTAGCAGAATGCCATAATTATAATGCCCAATTTGATTTATTAGAGGAGGCTGCATAGAAAAGATGACAATTCAGTAGCATTGTGAAGAGAGGGGATGAGAGTAGAAGGAAAGCTTCAAATTGAACAGTAATTTCTAAGCAACATCTCAATATAATTAGCATTAATTACAGTAAGCTATCCAAATTAGGTATAAACCTATGTTTAATAACCCTGAGATGCAAAAATCATCCCCCCAATTCCAAAAAACTTAGTATTACAGCCAATTTGTCTAGACAGCTTGGCAGGAAATGCCAGAATTCTAGGTGTGAAATTTGTGGTTACTAAAAAGAAGGAAAAATTATTGAACTTGTCTATATATCACTTGCATAATGAGTTTGAACTAAGAATAGCCTAGTTTATGTAGCTTAGATTTTGCTGCTACTTTCATCAACCTCACAGACCTCCAAACTTGTCTGGATTTCACAACTGTATCAGCTAGGATAATAGCAGGTATTTAAAAAACCTCCCTTTCCAACAAGAGAGGAATTTTAAGTGTGACTTATTTAAAGAGGCACCATGTATTAAATGAGTCACTCATCACAGGTTTTCTTTTATACTCTTTGTGCAGGCTCTTTTTCGAGTTTGTTACTTATCCTTACAGGTTAAAAAAAAATTAAACAATGGAAGTTGAATTCAGGTTTTTATGAATGTGGCAGCAAATCCCCTATTTAATCACTGATGGCAGCCAAATACTACTCAGAAGAAATAAGTAAAAACACCCTGATTTTTCAAAGCTGAAATACCAATAAACTAAATATTTGGTAAACTAAGGCAGCAGAATATGAGAGAAATCACAGTCTGCCAGTGCAAGAAAATCTCTTACCCCAGAGGCTTCTATGGAAGTGCCATGAAATCCCCACTGGACATAACTATGTGAAACTGAGTTTTAAATTTCATGTAGAACATGTCACTGTTCTCAACCTTTTCCTCCTGCAGGAAGAAGGAACCTCCCCATTGTCTCACACATCCACAATTCTGCAAATCCCTGCCATGCACTGGATTTCCTGCAGTGCAATTTTAGAACTGAAGAAACAACTTTTACCAGACCATGAGAATTTGTAATTTAAAATGTGATGAGCCCTTCTAAATTAATATGCTGAAACACAGAAGAGCATTGATAGAGAAGTAATAGGGGAGGGTTACATGACATAACCTTCACCATCTTTTTTAATGTTAAAGTATTGCAAGTCTGAATAAAACCATTTCCAGTAACTGGACAATTCAATCTTTGGCTGTCTGGCACACACACAGGATTAGTTTCATGGAACAGAAGGTGGCTTGAGTTAAACAGCTCTTTTTCTGCTGGAGAAATGGAGAATAAAAACCACTTTTTCATCTTAGTGTGTTTCTTAGCTCGGAACTAATGCTGGAAGGTCAAGTACACTGGTGTTCCCACTGGCTGCCACTTGGCACTTGTTAAGGACAACTGGGAAAGTGTCCACAGAGAGATGCTGCTGTGCCATGGGGACTGCCAGCCCATGAATGCACACTAAGTCACTAACAAATCTCCCTGCTGAGCAGCAGTTAAGAGATAAAGAGCCTGCCAGCCACAGCCTTTTCTTTGTCACCTGCCCCTCTGTACACACTGTGGCTCAGATGGAGCCTCTGGAATAATTCCCTACAGCATGACAACTCTTCATTCATTAATGCTCTACCACATTTCACAAGGGTACACAGGAAAGAATGCCCAGAGCACAACTTCTGCAAAATGACTTTCCACTTCTAAAATACTTGAATAGTCTCTCCTCCTCAATCATGTGTTTTGGGGGTAAGTGAAACTCGAGTCATGAGATGGACATAGAAGTTTGTAACTTCCAGGTGCACATTGCCCAGCACAAATCCTCCAAAGGAGTTTTTATGACCTGATGATTTCTACTCGTGCTCAAGACCACAAGGGCCACGAATCTACTGCATGGATCACTGTACTGAATCAAAGCTGCAGGACCCGAGGGAGGTCTGCTCCTTCCTTCCCACATTATTCAGTGCACCTGGCTTCCACTCCAGCTTATGGAACCTGCCCTCAACACAGCATTTGTGCACTTGGCCACAAGTCTTGTAAGAGGCATTGTTTTCACCGGCCCAGAAAAGCCATTTACACGGACAACTTCACCTACCAGCAAGGACAACATCTCACAGTGGCCAACACCACGATGGTGGCTCCAGAGGAGAAGTGTTTCCCTACCTGTTTGGATAGCTTCAAGGGGAGTTTCTTCTTCATCCGCTCCTTGCCTCTTTCTGCCTCTCTCTCTGAGCTCCCCGCATCATTGTTATGGCCATTTTCACTTGGCTCAGCAGATACACAGTTTTCAGATTCTCTAGGTTTTTTGCCTGGATGCCTCTCCCATTTCTCCTTCCGCTCCTGAGGCTTTAGCGACATGTCCTTCTGTAAAGGAGACGAAAAAAAGAGAATGGTAAGTTCTTTAAGTTCTTTGCAGCTACCTTTAAGCATTAAGCTGGATAAATACTGAATAAAAACACCAACAAGACAATATGTGTTTGACCAGAGGTTACTTAAGATGAATAATCAGGCAGGCACAATGCAAACAGTAATTTTAGATTAGATTAGGATGAATATTCTCCAGGCTATGTGTTTGATTAATTTCAGTGATGCTGGAACTGGCTATGAAAACGAGCTCACTTCAGATTAATTCAGAAACCACACGTCAACAGCACATGAGCAAATCAGCATCCTGAAGGGAAGCCTTAAACTGTTCAACTGAAACAGAGGTGGGTTTTGTTTTTTGTTTCTGATCTGAGAAGGAAACGCATCAGACCCCCCTTGGGGCTGACAGTCTGTGATTCACAGCAGCATTCATATGGAGAAAGGCACTTCTAAAGCCCTACCACGAATTCCCTGAGCCAGAGAGATCAATGGGATCCAAACACACAACAGAGGTTGAACACTTCTAAGTGCTAAGTGTCTGCCCTGAACCAGGCTGTAACACACAATCTAAGCACAGCTTAAAAGCGGGGATGTCATGTCATAATGATTAACATTGCAAGTGAGATCAGAGAAGGGAATTACTCCTGCTATCCCTGGCATCTCTGAGGACTGGAAGCTGAACTCCCAGTGACAATGTACCCAAGTCCCTCTCCATGCACACCGTGTGGAAAAGGAGTCCAAGAAATAATATGCCAAATCACTGTGACATTGGGTCACTACAGCTAGATATACTTTTCCCTTATGTCTTTTATTAACTGCTTAAGGAGCAAAAATTGAATTCTTATGGGAATGTTTTGCAGGATATCTATTCCAATTATCTTTTTATGTGAGGTAAATAGATAAGGAAATACCCTAAAAGCACTGCTTACTATGCCAAAATTCAGCTACAGATATTTTTCTAAATGCCTCGCTTTTGACTCGAGCAGTTACATGACAGGTATTTGTATCTTACATGAATGGAGATCACAATACAACTGCTCACATCAATGCACACACCTTCAGTACTGCAAAAGAGCTCATGAAAATCATTAGCTCTCTAGTTTCTCAAAAACTGAAGCCCAACAAAAAAAGAAAATTAGGAACTGGAATGAAATGCCCTGCTGATTGCTCCAGATTACTTCCTCCCCCTCTCCCTTTAATTAGAGAATTGACTGCCTCAGTGTGCAACATGCTGATTCCACTCCAAATCACTCACTTGTTTAAAGTTGCCCTTCCCTGGGAAGTGAGTGATGCACTGGCACTTGAGGGTCACAGACACATTGAAATTAGAACCAAGGCAATAAAACACAGCTGTTTGCAATTCCTGCCCAGGCTCCCAGACAATGAGCCAGCATCCAACCTCTGTACACCTTGCACAGGAGTCCTGTGGGGCTGGAGGCTCCTCTTACAGCACACACTCACATATCAAGTTGCCAAACCCCCGAAGATACAAATCTTCCACCAAAACTAAAATAACTAGCACTGTCTTGGGGGCACAGAACAAACCAGTACACAGCTCAGCTTGCCAAGTCCATTGCTAGGGAAAGAGGAAGGAAAATACATATCTGGCATTATTCTCCGTGAAGGATAAAGGAATATAAATCCGTGTTTAGCTGCTCAGTTTGGTTTTTAGTTTAAAGATAACACTTTAAAGCAGCAGTTCAAGATGCCAGTTGAAAAATATCATATTGTGCTGTTTACTGGGAAGCTACTGAGATAAAAATCAAAATGCTAATCTTCAGTAACTAATCAAAAACTTGTCATGTGGAAATGATATCTGCTAACTGATACTCAGCAAAACATTAGAAACAGCTATCACCACAAACGTGCACTTCTTCACAAAGCCAGATGCACTTGTGATGTGACAGCAGGTGCAAGGAAGATGCTGCATGAGGTGACATGGACCCTAACAGGAGAGAAAGGAGGCTGGGCAGGGAATGCCACCACCTGAGAGAACCAGCAAATCATGCACTCCTGGCTTGAGGGGTAATATTCACTTCTAAGGATGCCTTCAAAGCCAATAAATTACCATTTTGGTTTAAACTCTATCTGGTTTCACATGGTGGTTGGGCCTCTGTTAATGCTTTAGGGAAAGTCTTCCCTTGGTACCCACAGCACATTCACTGCAGGTTTTCAGACTATTCCTTTCACCATAGAACTGGTCTAGAAATCTGTGTTTTTCTCCTTATTGAACCCTACAAAATTCCCTACTTCAAAATGCAGCTTTTCATCCCATTTTGTCTGGAGATTTAAGGCTTGTCTCATCGCTGAGCTACTAGCAAAATTAATTCATGAAATACAGTTATAGCTGGATCAAAGCCAAGGAAATAATTCATTCACTTGTAGTGCCATCCAAGAATCTCAAGCACTTTCCAAACAGCCATGAATTAAGCCCCAAGGCTGAGGCTGCTCCTGCCTCAGTGGGGGGACAGTGGAAGGAGACCTGGGGACACAGGGACAAAGTCACGTTTGTGTGACAAGAAAACCTACTCCAGAGTGCCCTTTGTCCCTGCTTCAGCAAAGGACACACTTTTCTGGGAAGGCAGGACACAGAGCTCAGCAGCCCTTGCTGACAGAGGGTGACAGCAGGGTGTTCTCCAGGCTGCTAAATGCAGACCTCTGCAGCCTCAGGCAGAGCAGGAGGGGGCTAATGGGGTTTCTGTTCTTGCCTCCTTTGTCTCCTTTCTATTTGCTCTACTAAAAGAGCCTTCCAGTGATTGCTCTTTTACTAAAGTTTATGACCTCCAAGTTGGGGACCTCACTTAGCACAAGAGCTTACTATTTTTGGATGTGCATCTGTGCTTGTGCACAGGCAATTGCTGGAAAATTTAAGCACATCCAGAATATACAGCACATCACAAGAGTGGAGGTTTATTGATGCACCTTGACTGACTTCCATCCAGAAATCCCAGCCTGCAGGTGAGACTGGGCTCCTGACAAAGTGCCCCACTGGAGCCTTCCCCCCAGAGCAGCAGGTATTTTCATCCTCTGCACATCAGGTAAAACCTGGGGATTCACACAAGGACAGGATCTGAAGTCAGACCCCAAAGTCAACAGGTCTTCACATCAGCCTTGTGGTTTCTGCCCAGCCCAGGAGTCTGCAGACCTGCCAGTCTTTGCTGTCACAGTCAATCCCCTTCTCCAGGGAACCTGGGGGATCCCACCCAATCTCTCTTCTCAGTTCCAGAAACAGACTGCTAAATCTTACTCCAGAATATAGAAAACTGTTTTGTTCCTTACTAGTCATTGCTTCCAGGACTGTCTTCTACCTGTCCTCACTTCAGAATTTCTCAGACACCTTCCAGGGCAGGCCACAGCCTCTCCATCTGCACCCCTTGTCTGTCTGGGCTGCAGACAGAGTGCAGATGGTTCTAGCTGGCTGCATGGTTACAGATAGGGAAGAATGAGACCTTTCTTCAGAGCCCCTTTCCTGGCAGTTACTCCATGAAAAAATACAGATTCTATCTCCCTATTTGTTTATTTGGATGTGCAGACACCAAAGAACACTTCCTCTGAAAATGGGAATGTGGTATCTCCTCCAGCTCTCCCTGGAATTCCTCACACACCTTCACAGCAGCTGTGCAGATTCACTGACAAAGACCCTGGCAAATGCTGGCAACCCAAGTACTTAACCTAGGCTCTGCAACAGATTTTGGGAGTCACAATAAAAACCCTGGTGAATTTTTTTCCATCACTATTCAGCCCAAGCAAGTTATGCAATTGCACCTCTGCTTGCAGCAGATCTGGCAGGAACCCTTAATCACTTGGAACACTCCTCCCTGAAAAGCCATTTTTCTTCTGTCACCAAGGCACAGCTGCAATCCCCAAAGAACTCAAGGTACACACGGCCCAGCTGATAAGTAAAGCTGGGAATAACGTGGGTGCACAGCCCCCAGCTCTGGAATGAGACTGTTCTTACCCCTAAAATGCCACAGCGAGAGACTTCTGCACAATGGACTCCACGTTTGCTGTTTGATCAGGAAATAATGATCAGCCCTGGAGGAGCCTGGCACAAGCTCACATCCCACAGCCATCCTCTGGCTGGGGTTATCACTGCCTGTTTGCTCAGCCCAGCTCAAACTCAGCCTTAATCCTCTGAATTTACACAGCTCTGAGGTATCAGAAAGACTGCAAGGGCCAGCTGTGGTTAGAAATACCTTTCACACACAGGGAACACTTAAAGAACCTGAAGAAAATGTCCAAAACCCACACAACTGGATGAAAACCCTCGGGTATACTGCTGGGATGCAGAGGGTAAAAATAACACCTACAGATAATAAAATAACTATCCTTAGCCCTCAAGCATCAGTTCAAAATGCAGCCCCGGTGTGAAATCAAGGCCATTACAATCCCCTGTCCCCAGGGCCCGTCGGACACTGCCAGGCTCAGCCTGGCTACACTGCAGCCCTGCCAGACTGCCTCTGCCAGCTTCACAAGATTATATGGGCTGATTTCCCAGAAGGGAAACAGCCTCCAGCTTCTCTCTGCACAGCTCTTCACTGCAGCACTTATTCCTTAAGTTTGGCAATGTGAAACATCCTACCGAACATCAAATAGGGGAAGGATCCACACAAAGGAAATAAAAAACACTGCTGCCTCTGAAACTGACCCTGCTTGTCCATGTTTCTGCCTCCAGCTTCTCTCAAAAAATTGCAATGGAAAAGCCCCCGAGGATCAGAGAACCATCTATCCTTGCACCAACTTGATCATGCAATTAGCAGTAGGGTTGTCAAATGTGTTTGTGTAATAGTTCAGGGAGAGATCCTGGCTCAGAAAGGACCTGAAACAGATTTTTAAGTATTCCTATTGACCTGATACTCAGTTTATAGAACCACAGAAACAATTGCTGACAATGTTCTCGTGTTTTCTAAGCAGACAAAGCACATTACAAATACAGACAGAACCACTACTAACACAAACCTACTGTCCATTGATTTGCATAAAGGACACACAAGAGACAG